ATATATATATATATATTTATATATATAATATTAATATATATATATAATATAACTGTCTTGACATTTACGGCCGTCATTCTCGCTTTTCCCCTTTTCGTTCTAGAATGTGTTAAGTAGAAGACTTTTCCAATTTTCCCTTCTTGGGGCACTGAGTCACACGGTCACGTGGTTTACGCACACACCCCACTCACACAGACACACCTCACTCTCTCACACACACACACAAAGGCCGGCACATTATCGCTAAAACTATATATGTTTTTTCTTACTCTTTTCAACATAACTTAGCTGCACTTTTTCTGTAAATTCTCTCATAGTAATTATTCTGATGAACCTTCGTCTATGACATCTAGACTTTATGATTTTAAGTGCAGTACTAGATTGGCGGCAAGGTCTCATCATTTTCATTATTTATTAGTTGATTATTCTTTTTATACTGCTTATAAACTCTTTGCAGGTTATTTAAAGCTAGAAAATATTTATAGATTGTCAGAATTTTTTTTGGTGGGGCGGAAAATAATTAAGTGATAAGTCTCAATAATAACCGATAAAAAAAAAAAAAAAAAAAAAATTGGAACATGAAATTGTAGCCATTATTCATTACACACCCGCACAAGCTTATAGCACGTGTTATTCCCAAGCGGTCACCCATCTAGGTACTGACCAGTCTCGACATTGCTTAACCTCGTTAATTGTGTGGGGAATCGATATAGGTTGATTTTTAAGACTAATATCATTAACCATTAATATCGAATGATGATAATAATAATAATAATAATAATAATAATTAATAACAATCTAATAATAATAATAATAAAATCAATCTAAAGATATTTTTGTGAATACCAGGTGCTGTCAGTTGGATGTGCCGCTGGTGTAATTGATGATAGACCAGAATTGTTAATCGGAGAGCCGAGCTCAAATTCCAGTTGAGCTCGTTACACTTACGCGTAAATACACTTTGTATAAATTAATCTCCCCCCTAGCTATGGGTTAATTAGAAAAACTTGTTATCTAATAATAAATCATTATTACCTCAAAAAAGATTCTTGCAAACTTAAAATATTTTCTGGCTTTAAATAACCTGCAAAGGGTTGATAACCCGTAGAAAACGAATCAAGCTGTCAATGATTCTCTTATTAAATATATTTCAGCAGCTGATAGTCCTTCAGCGCCCTGTTTTTGCACTTAGCTGTTGAAATGCTGCGGTGTCAATTTTAAAATGATTCTTATTAAACCACTTCTTTTTTGTTTCTTTCAAAGGAACAAATCGAATGTGTACCGTTTATGCAATCATTTGGAATTATCGGAGAATGGGTTTGATGAAAAGAATCCGTTCTCGCGTGTCTGTAAGATGTCTCTCGCCAACCATTCCGTCCTGAGCGTTCTGTCGCCGTTGCAAATGGCTGCTCTTATGAAACACACATTATTTCCCGCTTCTCCTTCTCACAACAGAACAATACCGACCAAGATGGCGTCCGAATCGCTCCTTCCAATCTAACCACGACGCCACTGTCATGGCGCATATACACTTATGCGAACATCTAACGACTTATTGAAGCGGCATGTCGAAATAACCCTTCCCCCTCCCAGCTTTGCGACAACGATCGCCGATTTCTGTCATCCGGAACGATGGTCACTGACCACGCGGTCGTTAATCAACTTCCTTAACTCATGGACGTGAAGTTAATTACGTTAGTATTAGAACAGTAATGGCGGGATTTTTTTTTTCGTGGTGGTGGGGTGGGGAATAATCTAAACGCACTCGTGCCGTTACAGGTTGGTGTTAACTGATTTAAGGCGACGTGCAGGTAATGTAACGGGTATCAGCGCGGAAAGCGAAATCGGCGTGTCCGGGTTCAAGATCCGGCTTCGGCTAATGCGCGTGCACACTTTCGCCCAAATGCTGCCGAGAAGAGCAGAAGTCCGCCTCTTTTATGGGATAAAATAGCAGGGTAGACTGGACTCTATAGACTTGGTTACTAGTAGAAAAAGAATTCTGAATTTAAAACCAGATGGACAAACACACCTAGAATACTGAGAGTGTAGCACAATACTAGACATAAAGTCTGCAGGGTTAACATACAATATACAACACTTATATGGTCAACGGCATCAGAGTCTCGGAAGACCACTGATCTTCAGTACTGGAACGCCAGACTCTCATATATTAGTGGCAGACACAACCACAGATGTTGCACGTAAATGCCTATACCAATGATCTTCGCTCCTGCTGTTTGTACATCCTCTTTCTTCTCTTGGCCTTTCTGTGAAGAGACAAGATGGGCTTATATGTCAACATACCGCGGCATATTCAGTCGTAACCATGGTTGTCAGCAAAAGAGGCAATCCAAGGTGTGAACTCTCTAATAGGGATGTCAAAATCAAACACGTGCTGAAATTTAAGTATGTGATTAATGTAGTAAGAGAAAATGTGACGCGACAATCATGACAAGGAACATGGGGATAGGGAAAATGTTTTCCAGAAACTAAGTAGAGTATTAAGAGATATAAAAATATCGTTAGAAACAAAAGAAAATAGTGCTGAAATGTTATTTCATAGTGTTATGGTCCGGTTCCTTGTACCACGGTGATAGTCCAAGGTAGAGCCAATAAAGAAGAACTCGAACACGGATATGGAATAACACAGATATATTACAAACAGGAATATATACAGAGAAGTAGAAAGTGTTAGTACGAACAATCAGGTTTAGTAGTAATTGTCTGAATGCGACTCTGTTTCGGACTGCCTCTGACTCGACTGACTGACTCCCTCTGGCTGACTGACTGACTGACAGACTCCTGACGGACTTCACTCCAGACGGAACGGTATTTAGTCACCCTCCCACGAGAGCATCATGTGGCACCAGGCCGGTTTAACGTGGGATCTCCGAGCGCGTGGGCTCGGCCAAAAATATGCCCTTTGAACCCGCATAAACGGGTTCAGGGTCGGTTTACCCCCCCCCCCCCCGAAAGAACTCCGCCCTTCGGCGTAGCCTCTTTCGGGTTCCTCCCCGCCCGAAGGCAGAGAGTTCAACCGATCAGCCGGTCGCCCGACTTCAGACTGAACTCCCTGCTTCCTCTTGAGGCGCAGTATTTATTACGTATGGAATAGTCCATTATGTTATTATGGGTAAGGTCCCCTAACACATAGCTATGCCTTTATACAGCACTAAATGCAGGACCGTTTCCGAAGCTAGGGAAGTGTGGTTTGACAGACTGGCCATATTGCATGATGTTGCTGCACGGTGTTAGGACCAAATGAATATAAAACTCGGCATGATAGAGTGGGCCAATATGTGCACGGGAAAATATGCAATATTTACGGGAAGGAAACTAAAAGAAACTGGTATGGACCTTACCCAAACCCGTTTATAGAGAGAGGACCGGTAACAATTTTATGGGATTTTACAATAACACACAGAAGAATCAAAGCTAATGACCCAGATATTATGATAAAAACCCACAAAAAAACAAAACAAAATGTTTTCTTATTGGCACGTCAATAACTGCAGATTATAATGTATCTCTGAAAATCTTAAAACAAAAAACTATCAAGTGGAAATCTCAAAAATGTGGCACATGATGACATCAATAATTCCAGTTGTAGTTGGAGCCCTCGGATTGATTGGAAAAGGTTTCGATAGACTCATTGAAGGGATTCCTTAAAGAAATGTAAGATATTGTACTGACAACTACAGCTCACACATTACAAAGAGCTTTATCTATGTAAAATGGATGTGCTTTTAGGTTTTTTTTGGGGGTGGGTATTACAAAATTATAAGTGGAAGATGTCATGAAGTCATTTCTGACCTTAGGTCTCTGTTTGGGACCCGGAAGGAAATGTGTATAAAATTGAAATTAAAAAAAATAATAATAATTTTTCAGTTTGTTCTCTTCCTCCTCGTTTTCATTCTTTATATTCTCACCTTCCATTCCTTTCTTCTTTTCATCTTCCTTCTTCACTCCTCATCTTCTTCTTCTTCTTCTTCTTCTTCTTCTTCTTCTTCTTCTTCGCTGCATTTGTTCGTTTTCCTCCTCTCCCTCTACCTCCTTCTTTCAACGATGTTGCCTCTTCTCTTTCTCCTCCTCCTGTTCCCCTTTCTTTTTTCTTCTTTAATTCATCCTCTTCCTTCTTCTCCTACTCCCCCCCTTTTCGAATTCTCCTTCTTCCTCTTTTATCTCATCCTGCCCCGTCTTTTCTCCTCCTCCTTTTCCTTTTCTTCTTCCTCCTTTGTCTCATCTCCTCCTTCTCCTTCTCCCTCTCCCCTTTCTTGTCCTCCTCCCACTTCTTCTCGTTACTGTTCTTCTTCTTCTTGTTCGTCTTCTTCATATTCCGCTGCTTTTCTTCGTTTTCCTCCTCTCCCTCCTCCTCCTCCTCCTTTCACTGCTACTGTTTCTTCTCTTTCTCCTGCACCTGTTCCTCCTCTTTTTTTTTTTTCGTCTTTTAATTTATTCTCCTCCTTCTTGCCTATTCCTCTCCCTTTTCCCCATTTTCCTTCCTCCTCTTTTATCTCGTTCTGCTCCGTCTTTTCTCCTCCTCCTTTTCCTTTTCTCCTTCCTCCTTTGTCTCATCTCCTCCTTCTTCTTCCTGTACCCTTTCTCGTCCTCTGTACGCGCTTTCTTCTTCCTCTTCCCTTTCTTATCCTCCTCCTCCTCCTACTTCTTCTTCTTCTTCTTCTTATTATTATTATTATTATTAGTTGTAGTAGTAGTAGTAGTATCTAGTCATCTTACCAGATCAATGAGGAAAAAGTTAGATGCAATAGGTTTAGATGATTTTTCTACTAATCCTACAAATACGACCTGCCTTGAAAATCCGCTTCCAAAGTCTTAATTTTGTTATTGATAACACAGAGAGAGAGAGAGAGAGAGAGAGGGGAGACGAGGAAACAGGGTGGGCAGATAGTGAGAAAAAAAAGAAAGAAAGAGATATAGAATGTCAAAGAGAAATGTAGGAGACATAATTAAAATGAAACATGTCTTCCTGCTTGAATATTATGCTTTCTTTATTTTTCATTTACCCCGAAATCATTTATTTATTTCACACTAATATTCGCGTCGACATTCTCTTCTTTCCTCTTCGTTTTTTTTCTTTTTTCTCTTCTTTTCTCTTTACTTCTTATCTCCTCTTCATCTCTCCACTCCTCTTCATATCCCCTCTCCTCTTATCTGTTCTCTTCTCTCTTCTGTTCCCTACTCTTTCCTCCTCTATTCCCTTCTCTTTTCCTCTCTTCACATTTCTTCCCTTCTACTCTTTTCCCTCATCTGCTTTTCTCTTTTCTTCACTTCTCTCTTCGCGTCACTCCTCTTCTCTTCTTCTCTCCCCTTCTCTTCTCTCTTCTCTACACTTTCTCCCACCTTCTCTTCTATCATTCCCTCTCGCCCTCTATTTTATTCTTTTCTCTTCTTTTAGCCTTTTCCTTCTTCTCTTCTCTTTTCTTTTTCTTCTTTCTTCTCTTCTCTCTTTTCTTCTATTTTCTTCTCTCCTCTACTCTCTCCTCTTTTCTATTATTCTCTCTCTTATTCTCTCTCTTTCTCTCTCTTTCTGTCTTATCTCTCCACACTTTTATTTCCAATACCACACCCTACGGAGCCCCGTCCTTCTGCCAAGCCCTTCAGCTGTTTTCATCCTTCCCCACCACCGCCCCTGTTTCAACCACGACTCCTCGCCACACACATTCTTCATTCCCTAATATCTTTTGTTTGGTTTCCTCTACTCGACGCCATTATTCAATCAGAAGATTATAACATAGATGATGTTAAGAAAACATTTCGTTTTTATTCAATCCGACACCCCCCACCCATTCCCCACAACGTTTTATTTATCTCGCTACTATTCATTACTGAAGTCGTTTTTATCTACGAAATGAGCCTATGCGGAGGCGTAAGCGGTTTCACGTATCCGTGTTTTGAAAGTATATATATATATATATATATATATATATATATATATATATATATATATATATATACTAGTGTGCTCATGCTGTCAAAACTAACGACAAGGAGGAATATGTTTTATATTGTAGTAATATGTAGGAATTAAAATCTATTATTATTTATTAATTTCGATAAACGTGCAATCAATTTACAAACAAATTCATGAATTATTTTCACAAAAAACAAATGCAAAAGGTTAATGATTTAATTGGCGAGAAATCCATCGTCGCAAACAATTCAAATAATATACATGCGTGCAATGATAATAAGTATGCGACATTACTGTAATTATTGAACAATATAGTTCATTACTGTAATTTTGACAGAAAATTTACCAGTACCAAAAAATTCGTTTATCACCATATTTGTACATGAACGCACAACTGTAAAAAATTTAAAATCAAACTCAGCGTTGCTATTGCACGCTCCAAAAACAATAACTCATTTCCAATAGCATTTTCGGATACAACGATACATATATTTTCGTTGTCCTCTTATTACTAAGAGAAAAAACAAGAACAACATATATTCCATACCTGAAGATGTCTGTAGGAACAGACGAAAGCTTGTAGTAAAAATAAGAACTAATACGGCAGAAATTTATAAAAACAAGGATCTTTTCATTCATAACGGATTCGGAGGTTTTTGTATATTATTTGAATTGTTTGCGACGATGGATTTCTCGCCAATTAAATCATTAACCTTTGCATTTGTTTTTTGTGTGAATAATTCATGAATTTATTATTTATTAATATCTATTATGTATTATATTGTAGTAATATGTAGGAATATCTATTGTATTGTGAGTAATTATCGCTTAATCCAAGTGCCATTTAGTAATTTAAAATAGTAGGCTGTTAACGTTAATAATTGAACAGTGTAAAATTTATAAACACATCAGGAAAGATATCCGTATTTTATCCTCCTTGTGTGTGCGGCTTTAGTTCGCGCGCTTTTGTGACACACCTTGGGTGTGCTAGAGATTCAAATTTGTTGAGAAATTGGAACGCCATCGCTATTGATAGTCGATCCCACAATCCTAGAAAAGTAACTTTATGTGAAGTGTAATTCAAGCTGAAGTAAGATACAAAACTCGACCAATTTTTGTCAGACATTTATTTATCTCCTCTCCCTATTCCTTTCTATTTCCCTTCCCTCTCTCTCTCTCTCTCTTTCTTTCTTTCATTTTTTTTCTCTTTGCAGTTGTGTATCTGCATCTTTTCGTGGCCACTTCCCATCACTTATTTCGCTTTGATCGTAGTTTCAGAGAGAGGGAAAAAAGGTGGTTATTTGTAGTTTCCCAGCGTGGTAGCTTTGCGCGTGAGAAAGCGAATGGAATCAAGACTTCTGTTCGTCTCATGTCAAAATTTTACACATGCTCCTCAATTGTTATATACAAAAAAACGAATAAAACTTCATAAGACAGAGTGGCCACTTGGTATTGACCTCAGTTTCCATCTTTATCCACACACACACGTACTATCCCTGATATTGAGCACTTTTGCCCATCAATATAGCATACCTTAAAACTATATATATATATATATATATATATATATATATATATATATATATATGAAGTAAAAAATAAACGCGAAAAACAAACAAAAATTCTAGTATGCAATTTTAATGTTAATATAATGTCAACGTCGGACGTTTCGGTCTAGTAGACCATCATCAGGACATATTCATAAAACATAATTAACATTGGACTATATATATATAAAATATATATATATATATATATTGATATACACACACATATATATATATATATATATATATATATATATATATATATATATCAATATATATATTGAAATATGAAGATTTACTTTCATTTTTCCATGTAATAAAAGATTAAAAATTTTTTATGCCTACATACTTTTCCCTCCCCTATATATATATATATATATATATATATATATATATATATATATAAATTATATAAATGAACTATTTTATATAAATGAACTATTTTAATAAATATATATATATATATATATATATATATATATATATATATATACTAATTTAAAAATATAGTTCCATCGCTACACAGGAAGTGCCATATTTCAAAAACAGAAACTAAAAACTTCAAATTTAATTATAGAACTATCTTTTTTACATCCCTAGTCGTGTTTTCATTTTCATGCGAATTTTGGAAATTTTATAACATATATGGAATACTATATTTTAGGATATATATATATATATATATATATATATATATATATATATATATATATATATGCATGAGAGTACGCAAATTTCAACACTCATCTAATAATCTCCTCACAATGCTTTTTTTAATTCTTACTGCTTTGAATCCATTCTCGGTGTTTCTTGCAACTTCTTTGTAAAGTTTCTCTCTGGATTTCTGGGATGGAGAGTCATCATTATTTACGCTATTTATATTCGGACTCTAATCTGTATCTTTCCTGTTGTGGTTTGGCCGTTGTGCCCTGACCCTGCCCTTCCTAAGGTGTCTGTCGATCTGAGTCAGCTCCAGTGAACTCTTAACTGAACCCTAAATTTCATCTTCGGGGGCAGACTGCTCTCGTTCCACGTCCAAAAAATATAGTCCAGTTCTTATTTTTAGTACTGTTCAGTTATTGCTCGTCCAAGTACACGCAGGCGTTGAACTCGCAATCACTAGTTTATCAAATTCAACGAATCAACGTTTTAATCCATAGAACAATAGTTTAGTGGAATAAAGCTTTGTCTTCACAATGGAGTAATGAATATCGGTTCGGATTGAGGAATCGAAGAGCCGAGTTTGAATTCCAGTCGAATCCATTACATTCACTTACGTGCTAATATCCCTGGGAAAGGTATGTATCCTATTCTTCTCCCACCAGCTATGGCTAAATAGAACATACCTAAGATAGCAACTGGTCTACCGCCAAAAGAAATGGCAACCTACTGTGGGAAAAAAAATCTGCCTCGTCAGTCATGTATCGAAAGAAACATGATCGCCTAATCGTGTATCACGCATGGCACATAACTGACTGACTGACATGCTAATACCCTTGAGAAAGATATGTGTCCTCTTCTCCCCCTTCGCAGCTATGCGTAAATAGGACAGACCTTGGATGGCCACTGGTCTATAGCAGAAAGAAATGGCAACCAACTGCGGGAAACAAATCTGCCTCGTCAGCCATTTATCGAAAGATACACAATCGCCTAAGTGTGTATCACACATGGCACATGACTGACTGACGTGCTAATACCCTTGGGAAAGGTATGAATCCTCTTCTTCCCCACTCCTTCCATAGGTAAATAGTGCAGACCTTGGATGGTAACTGGTCTACCGCAGAAAGATATGGCAACCTACTACGGGAAAAAATCTGCCTCGTTAGTCATGCATCGAAAATGATCGCCTAAGCGTGTATCACGAACAGCACATAACTGAAACGTCTTCAAGATTGTTTCAAACACGTTACAGTAGGAAAATATTCAGATCTACGAGTGGAGAATTTTTGAGTTCTCAGGGTTCGGCTTCCTATTGATTATACCTTCATAACGGTGTCAGAGTAATGTTTGAAAACGTATTCTCTGCGAGGAAAAACTAGAGCGAAAGCAGCAAGTAAATATGGGTAATCAATGACAACATACTGTCTCCTTTTGATTGATTTCAGGTTTTTGATTCCGAGAAAAAACGGTGCTATTTATTTTAATCCTTTTTTCAGCGATCGACCACCCGTTCATAATACGAACGCTTTTGATGGAGTAAAAAAAGAAAAGGAAAGAAAAAATGAATCCAAATATATAGAGAGTAAATGAAAAGCGGTTGCCTGCCATTTTAGATCATTTTGTCGCCTTCGATGTCTGCAGAGGTAAAAATTGGTAGAAACTGGACGAGGAATTGGATAAGAAACATCACAGATAACCAGATTGGTATTGTCTTCCCGTAAAAAAAGAAAGAAAGAAAAAGGAATGTCGTCACAGCAGTTTTAAGACAGAGACAATTCGACTTTGGAGTGTTGGCCCGGAGAGAGCCGTAGACGGGCACAACCAAAATGAAAGAAACGACGACTTTGGCGTCAAACACCACTTCTAGTCACATATGAGGTCGCGACTATGTCACACGCTTGTTTGGGGCTGTTTCAGAGTACTAACTGAACTAAACAAACTAGTAAAGTGTTGTGGTAGGATCCACCTAATTTGCATAGTCGAGTACCGACCATATAAATATGGTTGGTACCGGGAAGACGAGAGGAGGAATCAAGAGATTCAATCCAGAGACTCTGCCCGACTGCGACGAAGTCAACACATTCTCCAGGAACGGTTTTCCCAAGAATATACAAAAGACTATATGTAAATATTGTGTACACTTTCTTGTTTCAATACATTTTGTTCTAAGTACATTTTGTGTTGTATTATTATTCCATGCATTAGTCAAGTTTCAACATAAAGCAAAAAGACCAGCCATCAAGACTCAAAAGAAAGAACAAGCCCAAGATGCGAACTACGATTGGTTGATTTTGTTTATCGGCACATCAACACCTCCATGGGTTATTTAATACCGAAATTTTGAACGCAATTGTATCCCTTCAACTACAGTTAACAAATGTATTAGTCATTCTACTACAAATGGGTATTGTTTGTAATTTAAACAATAAATAGGTATTTTTTATTATAAATAGATCGCGTTGGTAATTTATTTTTTACATAAAAATGTATTGTTGGTCTATCGATCTGAGTCAGGGAAACTAGAGCGAAAGCAGCATGTTATGTATCCATCTTTTGC